TTGTGGACTTAATGCGATCCCGATGGTGAGGTGAAGTGGCGCCTAACCAAGGTGTAAATGAAGGGGGGAGCAAGCTACAGGGTGCTCAGAGTATGGAAAAAAGAGATAGAGTGGCTCTGGGCCCAGAAAAACACACCTCTTTTACGCCAATGCCTTAAATCAAGAAATAGTTTTCTAAGATCTACAGAGACACTCGCTGGAACACCTCAGCAAGCGAGAGTTCAAAAGTGGCAGGCTCAAACCCAGCACCTCAATCCGTGGGTGATACCAGATGAGAGACTCCCCCCTGGGCACACAGAAGACTGGGCGACTTGGAAGGCGCTGAACAGACTGCGCTCTGGCACCACGAGATGCAGAGCCAACCTTCAGAAATGGGGCTACAAAGTGGAATCCTCGACATGCGAGTGTGGAGAAGAGCAAACCACTGACCACCTGCTGCAATGCAACCTGAGCCCTTCCACATGCACAATGGAGGACCTTCTTGCGGCAACACCAGAGGCACTCCAAGTGGCCAGATACTGGTCAAAGGACATTTATCAACTACCAAACTCATGTGTGTGTGTTTTATCTGTTTGTTTGTTTTGTTCTGTTAGAAATGTAATACAATGTTCTGGTTGCGGATGACACGATAAATAAATAAATAAACCATACCTCCTCCTCTGCCTCTCAGATCTCACTCCTGAAGACTGCAGTGAAGCAGTGCAGGTACGCATGTGCGAGATCTGAGTGGCAGAGATGGAGGTACAGTAATAGGAAAATTACCACATTGAAATAAAATCTCATGTTTTAAAATTTTTATTTGGTGTGCGTTAGAAGAGGGGTAGTCTTATATGGCAAGTATATCCCAAACTCGATATTTTAACTAGAAAAGTTGGGGGTCATCTTATACGCCCAGTCGTCTTATATGCCAGAATATACGATAATTAAATGAGGAGGAGACAATAGTTTCTTTAGTGAAAGGATCACTGGTGGGAGACCAACTTCTTTGAAATAATAGTAATTCTTTTCCAGCATTACTGATTTCCTCTACAATGCACAATCATGATCAACACCAGATACCTTCTCAGTTTGGCTTTCATCTCTCACTCAGCAATAAGGAGATCCATCAAGCCTGGGCAATGGTCAACAACAATTGTGCATGTCTGATAACGAGACCCAGAATCCTTTTTTAATACACAGGAGTTCCTTAACAAAGGAACTGATGTATGAATCATCCCCCGAAGGTGGGAACATTGAAAACCTGCTGTTGTGTTCTGAGTATATCACTGGCCAACACACATTTTGGTGCCTCAAATTATAGCTCCATTTCTGGGTACGTATCAGGCCTGTAGCGGGGGGGGGGTTAGGGGTTCAACCCCCCCCCCCGAAATTTTTCAGGTTAAAAAAAATAAACCTGGTTTACTCGTGAATATTAACTGGTTAACCAAATCCCCATGCTAAGTCTATGAGACACAAAAGATTAAGAGTCCTTCCAGAACTGCAAGCACTATCTCAAGCAATTATCAACAATTTATTCACACTGTCATTACTTGCAGCAATAGCAGATGTAGCGAAGCAACCAAGTTGGGGGGGGGTGGTTGAATGCTCTCATTAAGGAGGCCAGACTTGGTGGAGGTGGTTGGCAGGGGTGGAGCTGCAGGCTATTGAAGGCTGCTCTGCCCCCTGCTGTGCTCTTTGCTTCAGCGTGAGCTAGAAGGCAGGTTTCAACCCCCTCCCCCAAATTTTCAACCCCCCCCCCCAAATTTTCAAAACTCCCCCCCCTCCCCGAAATTTTCAACCGTCCCCGAAATTTTTTTCTGGCTACGGCCCTGGTACGTATATACTCGAGTATAAGCCAACATGAATATAAGTTGAGACACCTAATTTTACCACAAAACTGGGGAAATGTATTGACTTGAGTATAAGCTGAGGGTGGGAAATGCAGCAGCTACTGGTGACTTTCAAAATAAAAAATAGATACCACTAAAATTATTTGAGGCATCAGTAGGTTAAATGTTTTGTACATAAAACTGTAATTTAAGATAAGACTGTCCAACTCTGATTAAACCATTATTCTAACCTTCTTCAATGTTTCGTATACCTTAAAAGTTTCTGTAGTTTTTGGCAACAACATCTAGAATGGGTCTTGCTCCCTCTCTCTCTTTACAATTTTCACATCTTCAAGATTTACTTTATCAAGGGACTTCTTTCAGTTTCTTAACCACATCTGCTTTCTTCCCTCCCTCAATGCTCTATAGGGATTATTTGTTCCAGTTCATTCGTATCTTCTAAACTCTAAAAAGAGCTTGTAAGTGATGGCCGACATTAATAATAATGTTTCCTTTGTGTTTCTTGTACTGCAATTTCCCTGGAGCATTATGTAAACGTGAGCGACAAAGGACAGACAATTATTAACACGAAGGAAGGCATGAAAACAGCTTGTTATGTCTCCAGTTGACAAGAGCAAACTCAGCGCTTTCACTGTATGGCTGGGGATCATTCTACAGGGAAAGTATTGCCAGGATTAAATGAGACTGGTGCCTCAATTCCTAGCTTTCTTAGGCCAAACTACATGTTACATGGACAACCTTGTCTTTCGATGCTTCAGATAACAGAGGAGGAAGAGGATGCATGGGAAAAGGGTTAATTCCCTTACAACCAAAACCCCAAGCTCTTATCTATATAAATAAAAATGTCATGTTCATTTGTGGGATTAGCTAACTCAAAAACCACTGGACGAATTGACACCAAATTTGGACACAATACACCTATCAGGCCAACAAGTGACCATCACTGATAAAAACACTGAAAAACACAGTGGGAGAGCAAAAAATACATTATAACGCATGCGCAAAACCACATATGTATACGCAAACACACATATATACACATATAAACAAATATATGCACACACAAAACACATATACACAGACTGGGCCACAGCAACGTGTGACAGGGGACGGCTAGTCTATATAAATAAAAATGTAATGTTCGTTTGTGGGATCAACACAACTCAAAATCCACTGGACGAATTAACCCCAAATTTGGCCACAAGACACCTACAAACCCAAAGAGTGACCATCACTCAAAAAAAATAATTTTGTCATTTGGGAGTTGTAGTTGCTGGGATTTATAGTTCACCTACAATCAAAGAGCATTCTGAACTCCACCAACAATGGAATTGAATCAAACTAGGCACACAGGACTCCCATGCCCAACAGAAAACACTAGAAGGGTTTGGTGGGCATTGACCTTGAGTTTGGGAGTTGTAGTTCACCTACATCCAGAGAGCACTGTGGACTCAAACAATGATGGATCAGGACCAAACTTGGCACGAATATTCCATATACCCAAATATGAACACAGATGGAGTTTGAGGGAAATAGACCATGACATTTGAGGGTTGTAGTTACTGGGATTTATAGTTCACCTACAATCAAAGAGCATTCTGAACCCCACCAATGATAGAATTGGGCAAACTTCCCACACAGAACCCCCATGACCAACAGAAAATACTCAGTCCAACTCCCTTCACCAGGGCATGAAAACGAAGAGCCATCCAGCCGTATATTTAGATGGATATATATTATTCACACAGAGAGAGATATAGTACAGATTTGAAAGGGACCACTAAAGTAGGACAATTCTATGTTGCATGTTCCAGAGTAGGCAAACCAGAAATCTCCACATCAACACTGACAAAGAAACAGCAAGAAATGCTGTTTACCCACAAGCAGAAAGACATTACATATATTAGAAACCAATACTTTCTCATTACTTTATTTTCCAGATCACCGGACTGGGCCATAGAAACACGTGGCAGGGGACGGCTAGTTTAATAATAATAATAAAACTTTATTTATACCCCACCACCATCTCCCCGAGGGGACTCGGAGTGGCTTACATGAGGCCAAGCCCAACAACACATCAATAAAACAATACAATTAATATAAATCACATATAAACAATAACACGCAAGGATTTAAAAACCTATGGCCAGGCCAAATGTAATAGTTTAAAATTTAAAAAATAAACGCTGGGCATGAACAGAGGTAGGATGTATCTGATAAGAGGGTTTTTAAAAGAAATAAAGGGAGAGCAACCCAACGAATAGCTAAATAAAAATAAAAAGATGCAAGGAATCCCAAGTATGGAATTTCAATAAGCCTTTTTGGAAGTATATGTTGCTGGACTCTTAGGAAAAGTGCCTGTTAGAGCCCACTCCAGGATGCAGTAAAATGACCCCTTGTTATTTGGTGGGATTTGGTTCCAGGATCCCCAGAGGATACCAAAATGCATAGATGCTCAAGTCTGATGATATACAATAGCAAAGTAAAATTATGTCCTTTGTATAAAATAGCGAGATCAAAGTTTGCTGTTTGGTTTAAAATATATATGTATTTTCAAGCCACCACCCTGACTACTTTTTTTCCCAGATTCAACCCCCACTCCCACTCCTTCGCAAGGAAAAAGTTTTTATTAGAGCAGCAAAACTCCCCAATATCACCCAACCTCTGCTAATGCAGAGTAAAATTGGTTTTACCCTGTGTTAGGAACTGGAAGTCCTTAAATATAGTGTGAATGTCCAGAAGCAACCTTTGGTCTGATTCAGGACATATGGCCTGTGTAGTTACCTCAAGGAATATACAGAAATAAAGATATACCTTACCCAGTAAAGACAATCTCTTTCTGAGCAATATTTCTTTAACAGAAATTTTGATAGCAGAGACTGAAATAACAAGAAAAATGGGATTTGATGCCTCAACCATAAAAATAATAACAGCTCAAAATGTTTTAGTAAAGGAGTTCTCTTAATAAAGATTAAACTTTTTTCTGCGAATACCTTTGCTCCTCGAATGGCATCTCACACTCTTTCAGCTGTAAGTTTACTCTGTTAATATTTTCAGCAACCGACTTTCCTGTCATGTTTGTGGTTTATTGTGAACAAATGTGTCTGCTAGCATGATACGTGACAAGGATCACGATAACTTTTCTGATGTGTTTTTGGTCTAATTCTGCAGGAGGCCGTGTGTTTATGAATCCTCAGGACTGTGCCCAGCATTTGATGAATGGTGACACATTGAGTGGTGTTTATACTATCTCCCTGAACAGCGACCTCAACCAGAGAATACAAGTGTACTGCGATATGAACACGGATGGTGGTGGATGGATTGTAAGTGAGCAAACAAGGCTGCATATTATCCATTTTCTTTTCGCCATGAAAAATCTCCATAACTGCATGGTTTTAAAAGACCTGATGGGTTTATTTCAAATGTGCATTCAGATTTTTAAATTGTTTTTGTCAAGGCGCATGATTTTTTAAAGGATTTAAAGGATTAAAAATAGAGTAGAATTAAAACAGCAGAGGACCAGATCTTCCACATACCACCCTAAATGAACCGTTGTCCCACAGCTTCCTGAATATTGGCAACTTACCTTCTGTCCCTACTTACCAAAATTAATCCTGATAGTCTTGTTACCTGTTTCTAGTAAGTCACTGACTATTTCCTTCTTTCTGGTCCTTGACAATACCTCATTACAATGTTCTTGGTTTGAGTAAGAACCTCATCAGATGGGGAATTTAGCATCCTAGGATGCTTTCACCCCATCTTCTGGACAGAGCTCCATGCCAGCCATCACACAACGATATGTGACTCCCAGCGGAGGCCCCACCCCCAAATGGGATGAAAGCATTGCTGGTGGGTACCTTCCCCAACTGTGGAGCCAGCTTGGCTCTACTCCGGGATGGCGACTCTTCCACTGTGTGATGGGGAAAACATCGCTGAGTTGGAGTTATGGATGGTGTAACAGATTCGCCCCACTTCCCCTTCTCCTTTCACCGCAGTACCAAGCAAAACAGGATGTTTCACCTGGGCTTTGTGATGAGGCCTTCAGTAGTTCACTTTACTGCCATGAATCTCTGGGACCCCTCTATTCCGCCTTGGTTAGACCACACTTGGAATATTGTGTCCAATTCTGGCACCACAATTGAAGAGAGATATTGACAAGCTGGAATGTGTCCAGAGGAAGGCAACTAAAATGATCAAGGGTCTGGAGAACAAGCCGTATGAGGAGCGGCTTAAAGAGCTGGGCATGTTTAGCCTGAAGAAGAGAAGGCTGAGAGGAGATATGATAGCCATGTATAAATATGTGAGAGGAAGCCACAGGGAGGAGGGAGCAAGCTTGTTTTCTGCTTCCCTGGAGACTAGGACGCGGAACAATGGCTTCAAACTACAAGAGAGGAGATTCCATCTGAACACGAGGAAGAACTTCCTGACTGTGATAGCCATTCAGCAGTGGAACTCTCTGCCCCGGAGTGTGGTGGAGGCTCCTTCTTTGGAAGCTTTTAAACAGAGGCTGGATGGCCATCTGTCAGGGGTGATTTGAATGCAATATTCCTGCTTCTTGGCAGGGGGTTGGACTGGATGGCCCATGAGGTCTCTTCCAACTCTATGATTTTATGATTCTATTGTTCTATGAACAGGGAAATTTGGATGCATTAACTCTCATGCACCACATAGGCCATCCAGTTCAACTCCTTGCTATGCAGGAAAAACACATTCAAAGCCCCACAGATGGCCGGACCTCACTACTTCTGAGGGTGCTTGCCATAGATGCAGGCGAAACGTCAGGAGAAAAATTGCCTCCAGAACATGGCCATATAGCCTGGAAAAACCTACAACAACCCACATCTAGCCTCTGTTTACAAGCCTCCAAGTAAGGCATCTCCATCACACTCCAAAACATAGAGCTCCAATGTTAAAAAGCTCTTATGGTCAGGAAGTTCTTCCTAATGTTTAGGTGGAATCTCATTTCCTGTAAATGGAACCCAGTGCTCCGTGTCTTAGTCTACAGGGCAGAAAACAAGCCTGCTCTGTCTTCCTTATGAAATCCTTTCAAATGTTTAAACATGGCCATCATGTCTCCTCTCTACCTTCTCTTCTGCAGTCCAAACATACCCAACTCTTTAAGATGTTCCTCATAGGGTATGGTCTCCAGATCATTGGCCATTTTAGTTGCCCTCTTCTGGTTACCTTCCAGTTTCTCAATATCTCTCTTAAATTGTGGTGCCCAGTTGAGATCTGGCCACCATGACTTCCCTACTCCTTCTGATGCAGCCCCAAACTCCATTAGCTGTTATAGCACATTGTTGGCTCAACTTGTTATCTCCTAAGACTCCAAGATCTCTTTCACATGGACTGTTGTCGAGTCAGGTATCACCCTCCTGTATCTGTTCATTTCATTTTTTCCTCCCTAAGTATAGTATCCTGCCTTTTTCCTTGTCGAAATTCATTTTGTTAGTTTTGGCCCAGCTCTCCAATCTGTTAAAGTCATTTTGGATTCTGATTTTTATTCTCTGAAGTATTAGCTATCCCTCCCAATTTGGTGTCATCTGCAAACTTAATAAGCATGCCCTCTGGACCTTCATCCAAATCATTTTTTAATTATTTCAAATCATAACAAGATTGGTTGGGAGAATATACCTTTTTTTTGTCGTGTCGGGGCGACTTGAGAAACAGCAAGTTGCTTCTGGTGTGAGAGAATTGGCCATCTGCAAGGACGTTGCCCAGGGAACGCCTGGATGTTTTGCCATCCTTATGGGAGGCTTCTCTCATGTCCCCACATAAATAGCTGGAGCTGATACAGGGAGCCCATCCGCGCTCTCTCCAGATTCGAACCTGCGACCTGTTGGTCTTCAGTCCTACCAGCACAGGGGTTTAACCAACTGCACCAACGGGGTCTCCTGAGACTATTCATGAAAAGAACCCATAACACAGCGATCCCATAGGAGCAGCCCCAGTTCTAGATACTAAGTCCTTCCCTTTTAACTTATGGGGGATGGTGGCATATAGATACAGTATGTTTAGAACACATACTAAAGACTGGTTCCCTATCACACCCCACTCCAGTATTTTGCTCCTTAGGAAACAAAAAGGCATGTACACAATTTAATGTTACACATTCTGGAACTTTTACATTAAGCTTGAAAGAAAGCAAAGCAAAACCTCAGTTAAAAACCAGAACGATTCTGCCAGAGTGCTTCATTTTTGTTCCTTGGGGCTAAGTTAATAATAGTTACACTCCAAGAGATTCCCTGTGATTTATTTGACACTTACCTTCAGTTCCCGTTCAAAGTGAAGCTAGAGCTGATGCATGATGCTATCAAGGAAATTAATTGACGGTGTCTTTTGAAATTTGCATGTTCGCTGGTTAACATATGGCAGCAGCTATGGGGAACTTATGACAGACCTAGGGTTGCTGACTGCAAGCCTGAAGGCTGTATTTTGCCATTCTAGAATGAGAGTTTTAAGTGAAAATGCCATTATTTCTGTGGTCACATGATAAATACCTGGTTTAAAGGACCAGCTAGTTAAACTGGAGAATAAAACTAGGCTTCAAACAGCAGTGCAGCTACTAATTGGAGGAAATAGTTGAACTTTATTACTACTGCACAAAATAATAATAATAATAATATTAATAGTTATAATAATAAAACTTTTTTTAATACCGCTCCATCTCCCTGAGGGGACTCAGAGCAGTTCCCAAGTAACATCACAAAACATACAAAGTAAAACAACATAACCATAAGATTAACAAAACAATATAAGCATAAAAATTGTCGCCATAACACACATATATTAAAAGTAATCCTGCCTGTTCAAGGCAATTAAAAATTTAAAAGGCCGGGCCAAGATTTGTGCAAGCCCAAAAATTCTAGCGGCCCCGGGAATTAAGTGCAATGGTATGGCAGGCAACAATAATATTAGGTACGGGTCTGTGGCTGTTCATTCCCGGGCCGATTAGAGGAAAGAATCTGGGTAATTGGTAGGAAGAATAAGGCCGTATTAGACAATGTGTGGGGCTGAGTTAGAAGTGGTCATTTTCAAAGGCTTGTTGAAACCACCAGGTCTTCAAATTCTTACGAATGGAGGAAAGAATTAATTAAAATGCCTTCTGAACCCCACCAATGATAGAATTGAGCCAAACTTCCCACACAGAATGCCCATGACCAACAGAAAATGCTGTGTTTTCTGATGGTCTTTGGTGACCCCCTCTGACACCCCTTTGCGACCCCTCCAGGGGTCCTAGCCCCCAGGTTGAGAAACACTGCTATAGGAAAATGACAGGAAGGTGTGATGATGACCACCCACTCATGATAGACAGGTGTGATGATGACCACACACTCATGATAGGAAGGTGTGATGAAGACCACCCACTCATGATAGGAAGCTGTTATGAGGACCACTCACTCATGATAGGAAGGTGTCATGAGGACCACCTACTCATGATAGGAAGGTGTGATGATGACCAACCACTCATGATAGAAAGATGTGATGAGGACCACCCACTTATTATAGGAAGGTGTGATGAAGACCACCTACTCATGATAGGAAGGTGTGATGAGGACCACTGACTCATGATAGGAAGGTGTGATGATGACCACCCACTCATGATAGGAAGATGTGATGATGACCACCCACTCATGATAGGAAGGTGTGATGAGGACCACCCACTCATGATAGAAAGGTGTGATGATGACCACCCACTCATGATAGGAAGGTGTGATGAGGACCACCCACTCATGATAGGAAGGTGTGATGATGATCACCCACTCATGATAGGAAGGTATGATGAGGACCATGCACTCATGATAGAAAGGTGTGATGAGGACCACCCAGTCATGATAGGAAGGTGTGTTGAGGACCACCTACTCATGATAGAAAGGTGTGATGAGGACCACCCACACATGATAGGAAGGTGTGATGATGACCACCCACTCATGATAGGAAAGTGTGATGATGACCACCCACTTATGATAGAAAGATGTGATAATGACCACCTACTCATGATAGGAAGGTGTGATGATGACCACCCACTCACTCTTGAGATATTAAAAGTAAAATAACAATACCCTCAGCTGTGGGACACTCTGAGAGCTTTATATCTTCATTCTGAAAACTATAAAAGTTTCCTTTTTGATTTCATGTTTTCACATGAAAGAGTCACACATCTTACTGCCTTTTTGATTTCATGTTTTCACATGAAAGAATCACACATCTTATTGCTATTTCACCTGTGATCAAAGCTGCCCGTTGGCACATCATCACTCTCCTCATCTGTTGCAGGGATTTGTATACTTCACCTTTGACCATTCTTTCTTTGCAGGTGTTCCAGAGGCGACAGAATGGGCTGACAGATTTCTTTCGGAAGTGGGCAGAGTATCGCACTGGCTTTGGAAACCTAGAGGATGAGTTCTGGCTGGGTAATAAACCTTTGCCCTTTGTTTGTTCGTTGACAGCATCTCTTGGAGACACACACACACACCGCTTTGTCTCAAGTGCATTCATTCTTTGCCGTTCCAGTATCAACAGGCGGCTTATCTGTCTCTTTCACTCTTCCTGCATTATCCATCAATCTGCGTTGTACCTTGTCCAGTTTCTTCATCCTTTGTTCTGCCTGTGCCCATCATTAATGATGGGTCATGTGGCATCAAAGTCATTTAACTGGGGCCTGGCGTCTGTCTCATTTGTTAGAGAGCAGGGCCAGTTTAACTACCCTTTGCCTCCTCAGAACAGTGGTCATCAAATATCTCTGTGCTAGAAGCTAGACAGAGTCATTTCATTGCATTCCTACAGAGTTTTCTGCACCATAGTTATGCTGCCATTCAACATGATTGGCAGTTTCTGGTGAGAGAGATTGAAGCCTAAACCTCAAGGAAGAAATTATTGTAGGTAGCATCCAGGTTAACGGCAACAGGCAGTTGTGCAGCTAATCTTGTTGTTTAAAGTATTTATAAATTGATTTCTGGGTCTGCCAGCATCCCCAAAGTGATTCACAATAAAATTAGCTCCATCCTTTATGCATGAGAAAGATTTATCAGTGCTGCATAATTAAACTCTCAAGGGAACGGACTGAGAATAGAATGTGGGTCTGACAGAATAAAGTGTCCTCTGAGTGACAGACCGCAGAGCCAACAGGCCCATCCCTTCTGCTCTACTCTGGTTATAGGATAGAGTCTGGTATCTCGGTCATTCATTAGAGATGCCTTTCGGCATGTCCAGGTCAGTTAAGAAAAGACTCCTTCCGCACAGCTGTAGAAAATCCAGATTAATTGCTTTGAACTGAATTATCTGGCAATGCAGACTCAGATAATCCAGTTCAAAGCAGATAATGCGGATTATCTGACTTGATATTCTGGATTATTTGTATAGAAAGGCCCTAAGGGGTGACATGCTTGCTCACTTTAAACACTCCAGGGACTGTCACAGAGTGGAGGAGACAGGCGTGTTTTCCGTTGTCCCAGAGGGTAAGGTTCTGGCCCAATTTACCTGTTCGAACGCATCCCCCCTTATGAACCATCTAGGACTTTAAGATCATCCGGGGAGGCCCTGCTCTTCATCACAAGTATGTTTGGCGGGGACGAGAGACAGGGCCTTCTCTGGGGTGGCCCCTCGGCTAGGGAAGTAACGCTACCCCTCTATTCCGCTTTGGTTAGACGACACCTGGAATATTGTGTCCAATTCTGGGCACCACAATTGAAGAGAGATATTGACAAGCTGGAATGTGTCCAGAGGAGGGCGACTAAAATGATCAAGGGTCTGGAGAACAAGCCCTATGAGGAGCGGCTTAAAGGAGCTGGGCATGTTTAGCCTGAAGAAGAGAAGGCTGAGAGGAGATATGATAGCCATGTATAAATATGTGAGAGGAAGCCACAGGGAGGAGGAGGGAGCAAGCTTGTTTTCTGCTTCCTTGGAGACTAGGACGCAATGGAACAATGGCTTCAAACTACAAGAAAGGAGATTCCATCTGAACATGAGGAAGAACTTTCTGACTGTGAGAGCCGTTCAGCAGTGGAACTCTCTGCCCCGAGTGTGGTGGAGGCTCCTTCTTTGGAAGCTTTTAAACAGAGGCTGGATGGCCATCTGTCAGGGGTGATTTGAATGCAATATTCCTGCTTCTTGGCAGGGGTTGGACTGGATAGCCCATGAGGTCTCTTCCAACTCTTTGATTCTATGATTCTATGGAACGCCCTCCCTAAGGAGATTAGATTGGCTCCCTCACTCTTAACGTTGCAGAGACAAGTTAAGACATGGTTATATGAGCAAGCGTTTACAAATGCAGAGTAACTGACATAGGAAATGGAATCACTTGACAATGGAATTGGACAATGTTTTTAACTAGGAGATGCTGATGATAATGATGTTGGTTTTTATTGTTCCTATTGTGGTTTTATATTGTTTTAATGCTTAATCTGTATTTTGCTATTGTGTGTACTAACTCGTTGTAAACCGCCTTGAATCGCCGATAGGCAGAGAAAGGAGGTATAGAAGTATAGTAAATAAATAAATAAATAAATAAGGTTATGTTTAATGGCTTTAAATCATATGAGAGTAGATTTTGATTGAACCTTAAAAGGAACTTTTGACCGTAAGAGCGGTTTGGGAATTGAGCCAATTGCTTAGAGCAGCGGTTCTCAAAGTGTGCTCCATGGAGCCTTTGGGGCTCCGCTAAGCATACTGAGGGGCTCCACAGTTTCCTCCTTCTCCTCTGCTCTCTTCCTCCCTCCCTTCTCCAAGCTTTCCTTCCTCTTTCTTGATCCCACCCTTCCCTCTGCCTCCCTTGCCACCAAAAGCCTTTTTTCCCCAACTTTCCTATCCACCCAGATCCTTATCCCTTCACCTTGCTTCCTCCCTAAACCCTAAGGGGGTGCTTTGATTGTGTTTTTCCTGCATGGCAGAAGGGGGGTTGGACTGGATGACCCCTGGAGTTGCTGTTGTTGTTGTTGTTGTTGTGATTGTTACAAAGGCTAGATGGCCATCTGTTGGAGGTGCTTTGATCATGGTTTTATTGCATGGCACAAGAGGGTTGGATTGGATAGCCACTGGGGTCGTCCACTGAAATACTGTTAATTTTATATTGGTCAAAAAGTTTGTCCATGCCTACACACATTTAATAATAATAATAATTTATTTATACCCCGCCACCATCTCCACCAACGGAGACTCGGAGTGGCTTTGATCGTGGTTTTATTGCATGGCACAAGAGGGTTGGATTGGATGGCTACTCACTGGGGTCGTCCACTGAAATACTGTTAATTTTATATTGGTCAAAAAGTTTGTCCATGCCCACACACATTTAATAATAATAATAATAATTTATTTATACCCCACCACCATCTCCCCCAACGGGGACTCAGAGTGGCTTACATGGGGCCAAGCCCGAACAACAAATTACAATACAAAAATACAAATTGCAGTAAAATAAACAACATAACCATAAAGTATTAATTTCTATTTATCTATCTATAATTTCTCTATATAGCTCATACACAATATACTATATATAAACTTAATATAGCTTAAGATACAATAAACAATATATAATGTATAGCTTAATACTCAATATATAATGCATATTAACTTAATGTATAGTTTTTGCAATGGTTTTCCCAGAGCTACCTGCCTAACCATCAGCATGTCTGAAGTCTTTCCTCTAAACTGAAAAGGCAGGGGAGATTCCAAAATGGAGATCTCTTCCCTGGGAGAAAAGGCGGTCCCTAGACCCAAAAAGATACCTTTCTGAACCAATAGCTGCAAAGGAGGCCTGCAGACTGGCTTTGCAGACTCTGATACTATTAACTTTCAGGGCTCTTGCAAAGCTGCAGCAGCCCTGGGAGAAAATGCAAGAGGGAGCAACCTCAAGCAACTGTAAAGTAAGGCAAATCAGGCTCCTGGGAGACTGAACAAAATGATTTAAAAACTCAGGGTGAGATAAAGGGGCAGAACTGTTTGTAAGGGAGAACTCATAGGGAGACAGATAAATAAACAAACCTTCGTACAAGGGGGGGGGGAGAAATCCTGGGACAAGAACATTAAGGGAGCAATAGCATAAAATGATGTGACTACTCTCCAAAAGTAGCGATCCACAAGAAATGTTTGCTTCAAAAAGGGCTCTACGGCTGAAAAAAATTGAGAAATCCTGTCTTGGAGAAATAATGGGGTCTCCTTCTTTGGATGTCTTCTAAAAGAGCCTGGGTACTCCCTGCTGGGGATGCTCTAGCTGAGGGGTCCTCAAACTAAGGCCCGCAGATTGGATGAGGCCCTCCAAGGTCATTTACCCAGCCCCCATCCTAAACATGAGACTTAGGGTCTCCCTAGGTCTGAAATGTCTTGAAGGCACACAACAACAATCCTAATTAATTTGACTGTCTCATCAGCTAAAAGCACTTCCCATACTGGTAAATTTATGTTGGCTAAAATCATGATAGGTTTATGTTAGTTAAAATTGTTATCTATCTATATAAAAATGCTCTGTGCATAATGAGTACCTTAAAAACAAAAGAACCAATGAACGAAATCACACCAAATTTGGCAACAAAACGTCTGCACAACACAAGGAGTGACCATCACTCAAAAAATTATGATTTTGTCATTTGGGAGTTGTAGTTGCTGGGATTTATAGTTCACCTACAATCAAACAGCATTCTGAACTCCACCAACGATGGAATTGAACCAAACTTGCCACACAGGCCTCCCATGACCAACAGAAAACACTAGAAGGGTTTGCTGAGCATTGACCTTGAGTTTGGGAGTTGTAGTTCACCTACATCTAGAGAGCACTGTGAACTCAAACAATGATGGATCTGGACCAAACTTGGCACGAATACTCAATATGCCCAAATATAAACACAGATGGAGTTGGGGGAAATAGACCTTGACATTTGGGAGTTGTAGTCACTGGGATTCACAGTTCACCTACAATCAAAAAGCATTCTGAACCCCATGAACGACAGAATCTGGGCAGACTTCCCACACAGAACCCTCATGACCAACAGAAAATACTGTGTTTTCTGGTGGTCTTTGGCGACCCTTCTGACACCACCTCGCAACCCCCCACCCCAGGGTCCCAAACCCCAGGTTGAGAAATGCTGCCTTAAGGCCATCCAGTCCAACTCCCTTCACCAGGGCAAGAAAGGGCCATCCAGCCATTCACACACACATATATGTATATGACAGATGCAGTATCAAAGATTTGAAAGGGACCCCTAAAGAAGGACAATGATATGTTGCATGTTCCAGAGTAGGCAAACCAGACAATCTCCACATCAATACTGACAAAGAAACAGCAAGAAATACTGTTTACCCACAAGCATAAAGAAATTACATATATTAGAAACCAACACTTTCTCATTACTTTATTTTCCAGATCACCAGACTGAGCCACAGCAACGCGTGGCAGGGGACCGCTAGTTCATTATAAATATTGTATTGTTCTTTCATTTTTTTTTTTGCACTACAAATAAGATATGTGCAGCGTGTATAGGAATTTGTTCATTTCTTTTTTCAAACTTTAGTCCAGCCCCCCCCAAATAGTCTGCGGGACCATGAACCGGCCCTCTGCTAAAAAAAAGTTAATGCAGTCTGGGGTTACCAAAAAAAACCCTTATGGATATCTCCATTAGAAGCCTCCCAAAGAAGAGAATTGGGATGGAAAAATTGGCCTAAATATAAAGATATATTAAAGAAAGACAGAGAAGGATTCAAACTAAAAACACTAGAAGAGATCAGAGAATCATATGGTGAAATTTCATGGTTCCAACACAGGCAACTAAACGAGGCATTCAACAGAGATAAAAAGGCGGATTCGAAAATAGAGAAAGACAATGGGAAAGGATCATGGCAACGGAGAAGAAAAAAATAACAAAATTATATAAAGTTCTTCTAAATTGGAAAACAGAAAGAAATAGAATAAATAGCTACACCGCAAAATGGACGGATATCCTAGGCCATACAATCGCAACATCGGAATGGGAAAATGTGTGGAAGACAAAATTAAAATGGACCAACTCTTACAGTTTAAGAGAAAACTGGATTAAAATGTTGTACCAATGGTACTTAACACCAAGTAAACTGGCAAAATACTACAAAAATGTAGTTTAAAGATGTTAGAAATGCAAAGACAACAAAGGCACCTTTTTCCATCTTTGGTGGACCGGTAAGAAAGTAAAAAAAATTTGGCAGGAAATACATGAAATAACGACAAAAATACTGGAGCTAAGAATAGAGAAAAAAGCGGAGTACTACCTACTAGGAATATTCGATTTCAAGATAGACAAGAATAAAGATAAACTCTTTTTCCACATGGCGACTGCCGCATGATTAGTTCTGGCAAGTAAGTGGAAAAGCGAGGAAACTCCAAAGGTGGATTAATGAAGACTAAAGCTGATGGACATAATGAACATGGACACCTTAACACAATACATAACAGCCAAACAGATGACAGGAAGCAGCAAAACAGACTGGTCTCCAATCAGGAAATATTTAGAAGGAAATTAAGAACAGAAATGGCAAATGGGAAAGAAGAAAAGAAGATAGAAGACATATAGAGAAAGACTACACAAATACTAACCAATCTATGGGGGCAAATAATGAATAAGGGGGAAAATATATCCATATACTAACACACTCCACGCCCCACCTCTCCGACCACGCACAACCCCCCCCCCTCCATCCCTGATTAGATAAGGGACACCCCACAAAGTCCTCCACAGCTCCCTACCCCATCCCATAGATAGTCACCCTTCCCGTCCCCCGCCCCCTCCCCCCCCTTCCAAACCCGTTCTCCTTTTAATGTAAATTCAATATGTCAATGATTAACACCTTACTGATGTGTTGTTACTAAGAAACCTCAATAAAAATATTATTTAAAAAAAAGTTAATGCAGTCTGGAAACCTTGCAAAAGCAGAAAGTAGGACTCAGTAGCTATGAAATAAAATGTCAGTTTGCTTATCACCTTGCTTGTGATAGAGGTTGCAATGTCAACTGCAGATGCATCTAGCCAGATGTGTTTTCAAATGATTGCAATCCTCACACAGACCATCTGTTTCTCTCCTAGGGCCTTTTTTATTTCTTTAATACCCTATAGTCATAATTCTGCTAAAGTGGCAAACTAATAGTGCATTTGTTTCAAGTTCATCTGTAGACAATCCCCTCAAATGCCTGAGTTCACATGAAGCATTATACAGGAGTACAAAGGAACTGATTGCATGTGTACGGTAGAGGTGATCTTTCTCCACAGGAAAAAAAAATACATAGGAATAGCACTGTTACAACTTATCATTTTAGCATTTTAACTGTGAAGGTTTTTTTAAAAAAAGATCCCTAATGTCTTCCCACCTCATCAAGGGTGGAAGGCCACTATACACCAAAAAGTAATACAGCATAGATATGATATACAATAATGTATATCATATCTATGCTTATAATACTATAACATAAATCTTGTACAAAGTATACTTCATGCAATTATTTAAACAAAAAAATCCTTATGTGGGATAAACATAAGGATAAGGACTTTTTTTGTTTAGAGACTGTATTACTTTTTGGTGCAGTCTCCTTCTCTGGAGGTTTTTAAACAAAGGCTGGATGACTATCTGTTGGGAATGCTTGGTTGTGTTTTCCTGCATGGGAGGGGGTTGGAGTAAAAGGCCTTAGTGATATCTTCCAATTCTATGATTTTTCTGATTTTCTGTTGATCGTTTTACTTATTATCTGAATAAAACCAAAAGTGGGTTGGTTGTTGTAGGTTTTTTCGGGCTATATGGCCATGTTCCAGAAGCATTCTCTCCTGATGTTTCACCTGCATCTATGGCAAGCATCCTCAGAGGTAGTGAGGTCTGTTGGAACTAGGAAAATGGGTTTATATATCTGTGGAATGACCAGGGTGGGACAAAGGACTCTTGTCTGTTGGAGCTAGGTGTGAATGTTTCAACTGACCACCTTGATTAGCATTTGATGGCCTGGCAGTTGTTTGGTGTGGCTTGTTAGTACCTGGGGCAATCTTTTGTTGAGAGGTGATTAGATGTCCCTGATTGTTTCCTCTCTGTTGTTTTGCTGTTGTAATTTTAGAGTTTTTTAATACTGGTAGCCAGATTTTGTTCATTTTCATGGTTTCCTCCTTTCTGTTGAAATTGTCCACATGCTTGTGGATTTCAATGGCTTCTCTGTGTAGTCTGACATGGTGTTAGAGTGGTCCAGCATTTCTGTGTTCTCAAATAATATGCTGTGTCCAGGTTGGTTCATCAGGTGCTCTGCTATGGCTGACTTCTCTACCTCACTACCTCTGAGGATGCTTGCCATAGATGCAGGCGAAACGTCAGGAGAGAATGCTTCTAGAACATGGCCATGTAGCCCGAAAAACCTACAACAACCCAGGGATTCCGGCCATGAAAGCTTTCAACAATGCAAAAAACAGAAGTTTCATACCCAGGTCCATGCAAAACAACAACAGTTTTCCAATAAAAGCTGGCATACTCAAACATGAAATAAAATGTTCATGATGTTGCCTCGAACGTAAAATCATGTTTGGTTAAAATAAGTTTGCATATGTACTATCTAGAACAAAGCAGTCTGATAGTCCAAATGTTTTTGTTTTTCTTCTGTTTTGGGGGAGTTTAAGAATTAGTTGAAACATCAGGTCCAAGCTTGATGACATAATCTTAATGTATTACATAACAGGATCAAAACAGCCTTACAGCGGTCATTATATAACACGCCATGCTCAGTCAAGCACATCGATGATAAACACTTTAAATTGAAGTATAGATAATCTGCAGTCATAACCTTGAATATCAATTGTTATACCATATTGTTCACAAGGTTTCTGAGTACACAGTCTTAACAGTTATCTCCCCCACCTACTTTCTCTCTCCATCTCTCTCTAGGGCTAGATAACATGCACAAGATCACTTCACAAGGACGCTACGAACTGCGGATAGATATGCGAGATGGCCAGGAAACAGCCTACGCCTATTACGACAAGTTTTCTATTGGAGATGCCAGGAGCCTGTACAAGCTCCGGATAGGAGACTACAATGGCACTGCGGGTACAAACCTCCCCTCACCCCACCTCCACCCTAATGGTTGAGAGCAGGTAGCGCATTCCCTTGGCTGAGACCTTGAGAGCACATACCTCTCTCCTCTCATCCAGAATGAGGAGGCTTCCTTCGCCTTCAGTCACCATTACAGTGTAATAATATCTGACTGGCAACTTGACATCACTTGTTTGAGTTGTGGGTGTCTGAGAAAACATTGTCAATCCTGCAACAAATATGCTTTATACTAGCATTAATTGTATATCTGCTGGGAGGGGGGGATATCCACCCCTCTGAAAGATCCACCCTCTTTTTTTCTGCCCAAAATATTATGCTGCACATCTTTAAAACAACCATTCCTGGTCATCTGTTTGTACATAGGGCTGTGCAATTTGATTAAATCCCATTCTGTTTTCAGTATCCAGATTTCGGTGGACCCCCAGATCCGTTTTTCAGAAGACTCCTGGGAAAAATCAAATTTTCGATCCAGCAACTGAAAGATCCGGGAAGATCTGGCCCATTGGCGACAAGGGGGAACTTACAAGGCTCCCCCTTTCCATCATATTTAGGGCATCAGTCTTAAGAAACCACCTTTTCTGGGATCTTTTCTCCTTATAACCCTTCAACAAAACCTGGATTTAAGGCACGGGGCTTAAGAAACCATCCTTTCTGGCATCGTTTCCTCTATATCCTTCAAAAATATATTATATAATATATTGTATGTATATGTATCTTGTAAGCCACCCTGAGTCCCCTTCGGACGGCATATAAATGCCGTAAATAATTAAATAAATAAATAAACCTGGGTTTAAGGCAGTGTTTCTCAACCTGTGGGACCCCAGATGATTTGGCCTTCAACTCCAAGAAATCCTAACAGCTGGTAAACTGGTTGGGATTTCTGGGAGTTGTAGGCCAAAACACCTGGGGACCCACAGGTCGAGAACCACTGGTTTAAGGCATCCAACTTTTAAGAAACCACCCTTTCTAGGATCCTTATTTATTTATTTATTTATTTATTTATTTATTTATTTATTTACTGCGCTTATATACCGCAATTCTCAGCCCAAGGGCGACTCATTGCGGTGTACAACATGGAAAAACAAGAGCAAATTACAAAACATAGTGTAAAATAATCCACAATTCATCATTATCAGAAAAACATCTTATCAAAACATCAACATTACTACAAAAGCCATTCCGAATCGTCTCATCGTCAAACCCACAATCCGATATCATTTCCGTTGTTCAATTCCTATGGTCAAATTACCAGTCATTGCACTTCTTGATCAAATGCCTTCTTAAACAGCCAGGTCTTTAACTTCCTGCGGAATATCAACAGGGAGGGGGCTAGCCTGATGTCCACAGGAAGGGTGTTCCACAGCCGAGGAGCCACCACCGAGAAGGCCCTATCTCTCGTCCCCGCCAGCCGTGCCTGTGACGCAGGCGGGATCGAGAGCAGGGCCTCCCCGGAAGATCTCAAAGTCCTCATGGGCTCATAGGCCGAGAGGCAGTCAGTCATATCTCCTCTCAGCCGGCCCCCCCGGAAGATCTCAAAGTCCTCGTGGGCTCATAGGCCGAGAGGCGGTCAGTTAGGTATCTTGGGCCGGAACCGTTTAGGGCTTATCCTTATCCTTTCTCCTTATATCCTTTAATACAGTGGTTCTCAACCTGTGGGTCCCCAGATGTTTTGGCCTTCAACTCCCAGAAATCCTAACAACTGGTAAACTGGCTGGGGTTTCTGGGAGTTGTAGGCCAGAACACCTGGGGACCCACAGGTTGAGAACCACTGCTTTAATAAGACCTGGGTTTAAGGCATCAGTCAATAGAAACTGCCCTTTCTGGTACCCTTTCCTCTCATAGCCTTCAAAAAAACCTGGGTTTAAGACATCCAACTTAAGAAACCACCCTTTCTGGGATCCTTTCTCCTTATATCCTTCAGTAACACCTGGGTTTAATGCATCAGCCTTAAAAAAACTACCTTTTCTGGCATCCTTTCCTCTCACATTCTTCAATAAACCCTGGGTTTAAGGCATCAGGCTTAAGAAACCACCCTTTCTGGCATCCTTTCCTCTTATCTCCTTGAGCTAGACCTGGGGAGGAATTGAATTCTCCCCGTGGGCACTCAAGAGAGCCAGGCTATCCCCTCCCTTCAGTAAACCACCCCAATATTGAAACAAACCCACACACCACCCCAAATATCCCTTCACAGCCCATACACGAAATTGCCAAAGGGAAAAATTGGAATTGAGCCCAAAAGCAAGATCCGAAGAGCAGCGATAGCACTCAGATAGAACATGGAGCACATGAGCGGTTCTCTTCTTCTGATTGGCTCACATATATGTGCAGCTACCTCCATGTGTAGCCGAAAGAAACTGAAAGCAACCTTTTTCGGCAGCTATGTGGTCTGTTGCAGCCAGGAGAAAAATGGCGGCAGAGCCCGTGCCATTACTACTATCCGAAAGAGCCAAAACAGATGGAGCCCATTTTGAAAAACGGATCTGTGCACAATCCTATTTGTACAATAAATATAAGTATGATAACCGCTTGCAGTATAGTCACAAACGGACCATGCTGCATTGCTAACTATGCAGCCACTCATTTGATAGACCCAGAGGTTCTTGCTGATGTTTAATGTGGGGCAGCTCTCACACAGTTTTGAAGGTGCTTGAAGATATGCACAGTCAGGATCAGAACTAATTTGCATGGAGTGGCCCTCTGGCTCCCAAACGGCATGCAAAGGCCTCTTGGGGACTAAATCTGTCACTAGCTTCCTCAAGAAATGTTGTTTTGCTCTGATAGTGGAGTTAATCACTGATTCACACATTATCACATTGCTTGATGGGTTGTGGCTGAGCAGACACAGTCCCTCCACTGAAGCATGTTGTGCCCAAAGTGATGCATATGGTCTCGCTGTAACATCTGAGCAGTTGTGTATACTGGATATTGTTGGATATTCAAACTGAAACAAGCAGGTAGGAATGATGTTTATGTCCCTTTGGACAGTAAAGGGACATGGTCTGAAATGATATTTTCTGTTACAGGGGATTCACTCACCTATCATCAGGGGCGTCCATTTTCCACCAAAGACAGGGATAATGATGTTGCTGTTACAAACTGTGCCATGTCGTACAAAGGGGCCTGGTGGTACAAGAACTGCCACCGGACCAATCTCAATGGCAAATATGGAGAATCCCGGCACAGCCAGGTAAGAGCATGGTCAATTTATTTATTTATTTATTTACAACATTTATATGCCGCCCTTCTCACCCCAAAGGGGACTCAGAGCTGCTTACAGGATATATATACATACAATATATTATATTATTAGCATAGTACAATATCAGTATTAAATATTACTATATTGTACTATACCATTATATTTTAATATTATTAGTAATATTACATGTAATATAAACATATAATTATAATATCATATTATTATTAGTGTTATATTGCATTACAATATATTTACACAACATCGCCTTCTCTGTTTATGAACATTATATTTTTGCAAGACCATTAACTCACACAAGGAGCTGTAGTGCAACAACTATAAGCATGAAGTGGGAACCAGTTAGTCCCCAGTTCAAATCTCACTGCCATCATGAGTCATCACAGTCCATAAACTGTGAGTTACTTAGCTTATTGTTGAGAACCCAGTGTGGTTAGTGGTTTGAATGTTGAACTAACACTAGGAATCAAAGCTCTTCTTGGCGAGGGCAATCACCTTTGGGCAAGTCTTAGCTTTAGAAGAAAACCACCACTAAATAAATCTTGCCAAGAAAACATAGTTGCCATAAATTGGCATCAGCACCAAGGCACATAATGACAGTTATAGTTACAGTGCCATTCGGATTTTCTGGTTCATATTTTGGGCCATTTTAGTTCATACAAAGGGTCCCGGGTTAAAAACGTGATTACCTTTTCCTGGACATATGTATGTGTCTTTCTTTTTTAAGAAACAGCAATATTACGGTTTAGAGCACACATGCATGTATTCAGTGCATGGGCTTCCAAAAACAGTTTACATTTATCTGTCAGTGTCCTATCATCAAAAAGAAGCAGGAAGAGCACCAGATTCTTTTTGTTATTATTATTTGCAAATGCTCATATTGGACTAAAAATGTGCATGTTTGAAAAATGCATACTATTTATTTATTTATTTATTTATTTATTTATTTTACAAGGCCACCCTTCTCACCTCAAAGGGGATTCAGAGCAGCTTACAAGTCATATGTAAATACAATACATTATATTATTACCATAGCACAATATTAGTACCATACATTCCCATATTGTACTATACCAGTATTTATTTATTTAGTTATTTATTTATTTATTTATTTCTGGTATTTCTACCCCATCTCTTCTCTACCCCGGAAGGGGGACTCAAGACGGCTTACATGTAGTAACGATACAATTTATTTATTTTTGTCGCGTCAAGAGCGACCGCTCCTGTTGTGAGAGAATTGGCCGTCTGCAAGGACGTTGCCCAGGGGACGCCCGGATGATTTGATGTTTTTATCATCCTTGTGGGAGGCTTCTCTCATGTCCCCGCATGAGGAGCTGGAGCTGATAGAGGGAGCTCATCTGCCTCTCCCCGGATTCGAACCTGCGACCTGTCAGTCTTCAGTCCTGCCGGCACAGGGGTTTAACCCACTGCGCCACCGGGGGCTCCTATATAAAATGCCGCTACATAACAATTACAATAATATAACCACAATTAAATACATAAAGCAATCATTAAAACAATACATACAGGATTAATTGAAAACAGTAAAACAATATCACAGTATCATCAGCCATAACGCCATTGGAGTCAATGTCCAACTAAAATGCTAATTATGTCTGCTGTCCAAAAACCTGGTCCCAAAACCATGATTTTAATGTCTTCCTGAAAGCCAGGAGGGATGGGGTCGATCGTATCTCATTTGGGAGCGCATTCCATAGGCGGGGGCCACAGCCGAGAAGGCCCTGTCTCTCGCATTTGAGATGTTGACGGAAGTGAGAGCAGGGCCTCCCCAGATTATCTTAAACTACAAGATGGGATGTACAGGCAGATGCATTCGGACAAGTAAGCTGGGCCAGAACCGTATATAACCACTATACTGTAATGTTATTAGCAATATTACATGTAATATGAAATATAGAATTATTATACTGTTTTATTAGTAGTATTATATTGTATTACATTATAATGTTATTATCAATATTATATATGTATACAATATATTATATTATTGGTACAGTGCAATCTGTATAAATAAAAATGTAATGTTCGTTTGTGGGATTAACAGAACTCAAAAACCACTGGACGAATTGACACCAAATTTGGACACAAGACACCTAACAACCCAATGTATGTCCTTCACTAAAAAAAATGACATTGTCATTTGGGAGTTGTAGTTGCTGGGATTTATAGTTCACCTACAATCAAAGAGCATTCTGAACCCCACCAACGATGGAATTGAACCAAACTTGGCACACAGAATTCCCATGACCAACAGAAAATACTGGAAGGGTTTGGTGGGCAGTGTCCTTAGGTTTTGGAGTTGTAGTTCACCTACATCCAGAGAGCACTGTGGACCCAAACAATGATGGATCTGGACCAAACGTGGCATGAATAGTCAATATGCACAAATGTGAACACTGGTGGAATTTGGGGAAAATAGACCTTGACATTTGGGAATTGTAGTTGCTGGGATTTATAGTTCACCTACAATCAAAGAGCATTCTGAACCCCACCAATGAATTGAACCAAACTTGGCACACAGTTCTCCCATGATCAATAGAAAATACTGGAAGGGTTTGGTGGGCAGTGTCCTTTGGTTTTGGAGTTGTAGTTCACCTACATCCAGAGAGCACTGTGGACTCAAACAATGATGCATCTGGACCAAACTCTACACGAATACTCAATATGCCCAAATGTGAACACTGGTGGAGTTTGGGGAAAATAGAATCTTGACATTTGGGAGTTGTAGTTGCTGGGATTTATAGTTCACCTACAGTCAAAGAGCCAAACCTCCCACACAGAACCCCTATGTGGGCCACAGCAACGCGTGACAGGGAACAGCTAGTATTAATCATAAATAAGCCTTAGCCAACATAAATAAGCTTTAGCCAATACAAAAATGTGGAAATGTAGTTAAGAAAGTGCCTAGAATGTATAGAGATGGTGAAAAAAATTCCATCCTACTCTTTTTTTTCTTTATATTTATTGAGGGTTTTTTTGTATATATGCCCCTTCAAAAATTTGGAGGTTGAATAATAATGTTTTATCACTTCAGACCTCCTTTTATATCGTTGTTCTCCATATATAAAACACCTTGAGGCATGTGAAGTATTTTTAACACTTTTTTTGTTGTGTCAGGAGCGACTTGAGAAACTGCAAGTCACTTCTGGTGTGAGAGAATTGGCCGTCTGCAAGGACGTTGCCCAGGGAAAGCCCAGATGATTTGATGTTTTTATCATCCTTGTGGGAGGCTTCTCTCATGTCCCCGCATGAGGAGCTGGAGTTGACAGAGGGAGCTCATCCGCCTCTACCCGGATTCAAACCTGTGACCTGTCGGACTTCAGTCCTGCCGGCACAGGGGTTTAACCCTTCACCACCAGGGGCTCCATTTTAACACTGACCATCATCCTTCATCATTAACACATTCCTGCTATTTTTAAGATATCAACGAAGAGCGTTATGCACATGGCATTTTCACTTCTAACATCCTTAGTTATGGGAAGCTACCTTAATGACTACATGTTTATGTTATGATAATTACTTTTCCTTGTTTGGCCCACAGGGTATTAACTGGTATCACTGGAAAGGACATGAATTCTCCATTCCCTTTGTGGAAATGAAGATGCGGCCCTACAACCATCGCAACACCTTGGGAAGGAAACGGAGGTCTATGCAGCTGTGAAGCGGAAGGAACGCCCTCTGGACAAGGAGTCCTTTCCTGTCATTTGTTTGTATTTTATAATATGAAAAGGAAAGAACCAGAGTAATTCCGAAGTAGAAGCCTGCTCCATATTGAGTGGCTATGGGGAGGCCATGATGCCCCAAGGGCTGGCTCACTTTTCTGAGTGAACAACCTTGATGCTTTGCTATCATTCCCAAGTGACTTTATTGAGATCTGCCCAGCCCCACTTTCATACAACAAGAGTTACCTTGTATTTTTATTCCCTCCTGAGGCTGTTCCAAAATGGCTTCGTTTAAGGTTTTCTTCTTAACCCAAAACTGTGTAGGTGCTTCCTTTCACAGGCCAGCCAACTTGCCGAAAGGTACTAAAGGAAACTCCCAGAGTTGTCGTTGCTCACGTAGCTGCTACACAAACTGAGTGATGGTTTCACACTGATACCTGCCTGCTGATTTGGCCAACGCTCATCAGCCAGGAAGGGGATCCCAAATCTGGATGCATGTTTAAACCACTTTCAGAGGTCACACAAGCATATCCATGTTAAGGCCTCTCAGTTGGCCACTCTCATACATGCCAAGTGGGAGAACCCCATTCTTTCCAATGCAAGAATTAATGTCCTTTCATGCCTCCCCATGTTTCAAAGTAATATTCTACCCAAGTGATATGCACAGGAACAAATGGAAACAAAGCAAATTATTATTATTTATCTATTTATTTCTGGCATTTGTACCCTGTCTCTTCTCCACCCCCAAAGGGGGACTCAGGACAGCTTACATTAGTAACAGTGCAAGACCGCTACATCACAATTACAATAATATAACACAATCAAATACAAACAGTCATTAAAACCAATACATACAGTATTAATTAAAACAATAAAACAATAAAACAAATTACCCAAAAGACGTAGCTCTATGTGTAAAGGCCTCCTTCCTGTATTCTCATCATTCACCATTTTAAAGGCATTCCAAAAGACCTCACCTCTGAGGATGCTTGCCATAGATGCAGGCGAAACATCAGGAGAAATGCCTCTAGAACATGGCCATATAGCCCGAAAAAACCCACAAGAACTTACATTCCAAAATAGGTTGTAAACATACATTTAATTCAAATCAGCAAACATTATTTTTACCGTCGAAGGCTTTCGTGGCTGAAATCACTGGGTTGTTGTAGGTTTTTTCGGGCTATATGGCCATGCTCTAGAAGCATTCTCTCCTGATGTTTCACCTGCATCTCCTCACAACCTCTTGCCATAGATGCAGGCAAAATGTCAGGAGAGAATGCTTCCAGAACATGGCTATATAGTCCGAAAAACCTACAACAACCCATTATTTTGCTCCTGAAAAAGTTTAAGTGAGAAATAGAATCTTTAAAGAATTCATATCTGTACTCCGCAACTGTTCATTTGTGAAAATACTTCAACCCAGTTCACCTACCCTCTTGGAGACAACTCTGCATATAGCAGTTGCTTCTTGTTGTATAGGTAGGTACCACAATGAAGCTGGAGAAAAACAAACAATTATAATGCTGGGTTGTTGTAGGTTTTTCAGACTATATGGCGATGTTCTAGAAGCATTCTCTCCTGATGTTTTGCCTGCATCTATGGCAAGCATCCTCAGAGGTTGTGAGGTCTGTTAGAACTAGGAAAATTGGGTTTATATATCTGTGGAATGTCCAGGGTGGGACAAAGAACGTCAGGAGAGAATGCTTCTAGAACATGGCCATATAGCCCGAAAAATCTTCAACAGCCCAGTGATTCCAGCCATGAAAACCTTTGACAATTATAGTGCTGTTACTCCACTTTAGGGTAGACAGCATAATGTAATGGGTTGAGCGTAGACTATGACTCTGGAGACCAAATTTGAACCCCTGCACAGCCATGGAAACCCAGTGGGTGACCTTGAGCAAGTTATTCTCAGCCTCATGGTGAAGCAACGGCAAACCCCCTCTGAACACACCTCCCACCCCCCACCCCACCCCACCCCACCCCCCAAAAAACTCATAAGAGGAACACGCAAACAATAAATGCAACTTTACATACCATTGATCCTTCCCATGGAAATCCTGGGTCGTGTAGTTTGTCAAAGGCACTAGAAGAACTAATCCAGTGGTTCTCAACCTGTCGGACCCCAGGTGTTTTGGCCTACAACTCCCAGAAATCCCAGCCAGTTTACCAACTGTTAGGATTTCTGGGAGTTGAAGGCCAAAACATCTGGGGACCCACAAGTTGAGAACCACTGAACTAATCTGTTTGTGAATTATAAATGCTCCTCCCAAACTTCAAATCCCAGGATTCCACAGGATGGAATCATGGCAGTTAAAGTGGAATAATAATGCTATAATTCCATAGTGGAGATCCACTCCTGATTCTTTTCTGGGAGAAATTAAGTATGTGCTCCTGGGCATGAATCCTAAATAGTATAGCGATATAATGCTTAATTCGTGGTTACCCCCAGAAAACTCCTTAATATTATGCAGCTTTCATTATCTGAGCACAGCCTTAGAGGACAAAACTAACATTATCTGAGAAATCATAAGTCAGAGCTCTTGATTTTTATAGCTGTTATTTTATTATGAATTATAAATACGTTGCCCAATATCATGAGCTCTCGGAATAGCATACAATTAAAATCCAGAAAGTAGAACAAAATAAACAATTGCATTAATTGTTTTAGAATAGTCCATCTGGGGAAAGAGCTGCTGCACGTTTCTTAGGTTGTATTATATCTCGTACTTTCCCTCTGTACTATTTTCCCAATCAATACCTTTCAAGCTGCATGCTCGGTGAATGTGTCAAGCAAACATAAAAAGGTTGTTAAAAGAATGAGGAGTATACATAAAGAGCAGCTCTGCTCTTTCTAGAAGGGTAAAACTGTACCTAGGCTGCCCCACTTCAGACGTCCTGGTGTAGGAGGGATGCCCCACGAAAGAAAACAACAGACTTGCACACTGAAAACGGAATAACTTCTACCCTGCCGCCTAGTTTTCTACAGGGACGTATTTAATCATGGGAGACTTCATTTGAAGTCTGACTGGGACAATCCTAGTCTAGTCTTTACCTCCTTCAGTGCAGTCTTTGTTGTTGTTCATTCGTTCAGTCGTTTCCGACTCTTTGTGACCTCATGGACCAGCCCACGCCAGAGCTCCCTGTTGGCCATCACCACCCCCAGCTCCTTCAAGGTCAAGCCAGTTTTAGTAAAAAGAGTGCATTGGATTGACTCATTCAATTTGAAATTCTGAGGATTATCTGTCTACGTGTCAAAGCTCTATTTGCCCAAGACATTAAAACTAACACCTACCACACACATACAAATACCCTGTGGATGCACTGGTGTAATGATGTCTTTTTTTTTTTTTTACACAGACACACAATATATTCCTACCTAGTGATGGTTTGCTGTCAATATACATTTGTAGAGTGAGCCATCACCAGGTAGGAGGTAGTGGACTACTTGGCTAAGTTACATAGAATGCGTCTGTACTCTGTACATGTGAAAAATCTGAGGTTTAGACTTGTTTCCAAACTGTTTGGAGGGGGAAACCAACTTTACAAAGTTTTTAAATTGCAATTAAGCATGTTTTTCAAATGGCTCTAGTTAAGCACAGTATCCTTCACACTGTTTGCTTGCTATTACACATAACAGTAATAGCAAGCAAAGTTTATTGATTAGTCCACTGACCATATCAACATTAAAAACAAAAACAGAAACGTACACAAATAGACAATAATCACTATCCTGTGATTCCCATAATAATGGACTAAGATACATTCAAACTTGATTAGGTTAAAAGATAATTAAAAATATCATCACTAAAATGCCAAGGTAAAATTTCAAACCACAAAAATTAAAAACGAAGGTTAAAACAAAGGTTAAAATAGACCAGCTATTACACAATCCCAAGCCATTTCAGATATAACAGTAATAATTACTCATGCTGGACATTTAAAAGGCACACATACATACCTGAGCTAAAGCAAGTTTGAAATGGGAGAGTAATAGTACAGCACTGTCACCTTGTGGTAGATGCAGCCAAATACAGTTTGTTCTAAATGCAGTCTTCTGCTTTTAATGACAAGTGATTCATTATATTATCACTTATTATTATTATTATTATTATCAATATTAATAATAAAGTGATTTATTATTAATGACAAGTGATTTATTATTTATCTTTTCATAGGCTGGATCTACACTGTCCTATAGCCCAGGTTCTGACCCCAGATTATCTGCTTTGGATTATGTGAGTCTACATTGACAGATAATCTGGGATAAGACGATAATCTGGGATCAGATCCTGGGATATAGGACAGTATAGATCCATCCCTAGACATACCCAGTCTTTCACTCTAGTCAGGGGCGGCTCAACCCATTACGCAAAGTAAGCATTTGCAGTATAGTTGATTTTACCCAGGGGCGCTCTTGAGGCACTCTTGGGGGAAAATAGACCTTGACATATGCAAGTTGTAGTTACTGGGATGTATAGTTCACCTACAATCAAAGAGCATTCTGAACTCCACCAATGATGGAATTGAACCAAATATGGCACACAGAACTCCCACGACGAACAGAAAATATATATCAGTGATTGGTTGGGGGGGGGGGGGCCAAAATACTGTTTGCTTACCTTTGAAAATTACCTAGGGCCGCCTCTGACTCTAGTTAAGACCTAAGAACACGGAGGGCAAGTCCGAGTTAATGACTTTATAGGGATATTTTAGCATAGTTTGTAGCTCCCTACATACAGCAGGGGAAGGGAAACAGGTCCAGTAAATAGAGAAAATTAGAAATACTAGCCCTGATCTTCTGTGCCTAAAGGATTCAGGGGAAAATTAAAGGATTCATCATCCTGTTCACTGCCAAGGTGAACAGGATCCCTGCTCCTACAATAGCTGTACAGAAAAAAAGATTTCAGCTGTTGCAATCCATAGCTGCAGCTCCTAAAGTCTCTTATACCACAGAGGTTCTGTCTTCTTTTTGCCTCTGGCTATGCTACCAGGAGAAAAAAAGTGTAAGCTACATCCCCAGGGCACAAACTACCAAGAAAAGTAAACAGTGGCAAAACAAACAATATATTACAAAACAAATACTGGTGTCTCATTTGCAGACTGCAGCAATCAGGACTGTTGTTCCATTTAGTGAAGGGAAGCTTATTATTATTATTATTATTATTATTATTAGTCAAATCCACATTTTCTGTCTTAAAGCTGCAAACCATGCTAGAAACAATACGATGTACAATTTAACCTTAAAGCACTAAAATAGAATTAAACCTAGGACTACTAAAATAAATAGCTTAAACCATTAAAAACCTATTAAAATACATATAATGCTACACAACACTCCCTAGCTTGGTCTTTAAAACTCTCTTCTTTAAAAGCCTGGCTGAATAAAAAGGTTGTAACCGGCTTCTGGAAGGATATCTTGGGGTGGGAGGGGGGCATTCTGGCATCTCTAGGCAAAGTAAAGGAGCAGTTATTGGGGCCCCTTCTACACTACCATATTATCCAGTTTATCAAAGCCGGTAGTCCACATTATCTGTTTTGAATTGGATTATATGAGTCTACACTGCCATGTAATCCAGTTTAAAGCAGATAATCTGGATTTTATATGGCAATATAGAAGGGCATGAGAAGGTCCTCTCTCACATTCCCACCAACTGTGGTGAGACTGTAAGAAGGGCCTTTCCTAAGGATCTCAAAGTCCACACAGGTTCATCCTGGGAGGTAGGATCTATCAAATAGCCTGGACCTGAGCTATATAGGACTTCATATGTAATAACCATCACTTTGAATTATCCCTGGGAACAAACTGGCAGCCGATGGAACTGTTATAACAGCGGGGTTGTGCATTCTCTGTGGCCGGTCCCACATAATAATCTGGCCACAGCTCTTTGGATCAGGCAAAATTTCCAAACACTCTTCAAAGACAGCTCCATGTAGACTGCATTAGAATAATTCAAATGGGATGTAACTATGGCCAGATCTAAAGTCTCAAATAATGGCCGCAGTTGGGACACATTTTAAATGTGCAAAGGCACTTCTGGCCACTGCATAAACCGAGCCTCCAGGTTCAATGGCAAATTCAGGAGTACCCCCAAACTGCAGATCTGTGTCTGTAACCCTATTCCCTTCTGATTGATCAAGAGCATCTCTGTCTTACCTGGATTAAGTTTCAGTTTGCCCATTACTGATGGCAGACATTGTCTTAGGATGAAGACAGCTTCCTTAGTTATGGGTGGAAAGGAGTAGTAGAGCTGAGTGTCATCTGCATATAGATGGCACTGCACTCAAAAACTCCTAATGACCTCTCCCTGTGCTTTCGGATACATGTCTAACAGCATGGGGGACAAAACAGAGCCCCAAGGGATCCCACAAGCCAATGGCCAGGAGTTTGACCTAGAGTCCCTCAGCACCACCTTCTGGGTTCACCCTTCTAAGAAGAAGCAAAGCCACTGTAAAATAGTGCTTCTAAGTCCCATCGTAGCAAGGTGGCCTAAATGAATATCATGGACAATGGTATCAAAAGCTGGTGAGAAGTCCAGGAGAACCAACAGGGACATATTCC